AGGAGAGCATAACTGAATTCCATTGTCCAAATGATATCATCTTGGTCACTTCTCCCAAAGGCAAAATGTAGATATCAACCTAAGAATGCGAATCCTTCAGCCAACATCTTTTGCTGTTGCACGACAGAGATTGAATAATCAAATAGCAGCTCTGGGAATCATTAGAATTAAAGGGTAAGGCGTCAGGACTAAATACATGCCAATTCAAACATTTAATGTGTCCCATTTAAACTATATGTACCTAAGGCAAGGAATATATTCACCTTAAATTAACCAGTTCTAAAAGAAAAGTGTAAAGCCAATGATTTAGGGCATCAACGCAGATGATCAAATCATAAACCAAAAAAATACTGCAAGTAAATTACCTGTTGATACTCATAGGAGACATTACTCCTGCTTGGCATAATAGTGGGGGGCTAACTCAGTCAACCAAAAGCGATCAATTATTGTTACGTTGCGGATGTACTTCTTAGAAGTTTTGACAAACTTGTTGAAAATAATGCAGTCAACCTTAGTGTGGAATAATACAGAAGTAGGGTGGATGTGCACCAACTCACCACTTGCCAAAGCCCTACCATTTGAATAGGTAAATGTGAGAGGTAGCTTGTAAGGACATACTGAATAACTAAACTAACAAAACCTAAAAATCTAAGAGGAAAGTGAAGATAAAACATGGAGATAACAAGTTAGAAAACATGAGTACATTCTTAAAAAGGAATGCTTGTCTAGAAAGAGTTACTATTTGATGAACTCGACAAGCTTGCTAAAGAAATATAAAAACCAATCAATGTGTATTTGAAACCTGTGTGTTTTGTCAGGTTGCTTCAAAGCTGCATTGAGGAAAAAACAAGCAGCAAGGCATCTACGGTACTGAAGTGTGTCATCTCCACAAGAAGAAATACAAATGCCCATTTGTTCAACATGTCGTTGGATTTGACTACAGTAAACCACCTAATTAACTTAGAGATGCTTACTTATAGGTCTTTGGATACAACTTCCGAAATAAACAACATAAAAATTACTAATTACCAAATTATTATATATCTAGGATCTTTTGAATGGGTAACCTGGACCTTTATTTAATAGGAGCATGTTTATTGAATGGGAAAGGCCAAAAAATTAAATATGTGTTTCTTTGAGTCTAACCTGTGGATGTCGCGAGCATGTCTCAAAGAACGGCTACTGATAAAGTTTTCCTTGCACCATTTTCTAACAATTTTTTCATGCTTGTCTTTGCCAACCTCTGA